CCCCAAAACCCCAAAACCCCAAAACCCCAAAACCCCAAAACCCCATTATTTAGAATTAATGTTGAACATAAGAGAAGAGTTTGGTGGGAGTCAATGTTTTACTTATAAATCTTGAAGTTGGCTAAGGTCTAATTCATCCCCAGCGCCTGCGACTTCATCTGATCCATCATTGTATCAGTCCTCATCGAAAGCATCATTATCCAATCTGACTGGTTCTTCTGGGTTATTTTTCTTGCTCATCTGTTCATAGCTAGCCCAGAGTTTGGAGCCTAACCCGAGATCTTTGTCTTCATCATCTTCTTCATCTTCTTCAACCTCATCTCCTTCAAGGTTGGGAACATCTTGATATTTGTTGATGCTTTCTGGGAGTTTGTAGTTGTCTTCAAGCTGGGGGAGTATCTGCTGATCCTTGTCGTCCTCACTGACTTCAGACACGCTCTCTTCCTCCTCATCAGAGTTCATTTGTTTGCAGCTCCTAATTGTTAGAGTAGAATCTCACTTTTCAGAATTGGAGTTTTTCGGGTTCCCAACGCGGGGAGGTTCTGTGTCAGAATTAGGCTTACCAATTTCTTGTTGAAGCTGTGGAGTATTTTCCTCTTCGGCAGGTAACTTCTCTAGCTCTTTATGTCTCTTAAAATTTCCTTCGCTCACTGGAATGCTTACTGGAGCTTCTTCCTGATTCTTTTCAGGATTTTCTCTTGGAATGCTTTTCTGGAGATCATTCTGATCTTCGCTTCTTTGGAGAGCTTGATGATCTGGACTTTTTGGGTGAGTGTGAGAATCTACGTTAGTTATAGAGGAATTAGAAGCACTGTACTCTCTGGATAAATTTGATGATCTTTGCTCTTCTGAATTATCAAGTTTTCTGGCGAGCTTGACTTCTCTCTTCTCTTTTGCTCCTCTTGGCTTTTCTTGTCTCCTATAATTACTTTTAGATTTCTTCTTTCTAGCTCTTTTTGGTTGTTTTTTCCTTTTTGAAGATTTGTGTTTTGCCATCCAAATTTTTAATTATTATCAAAATTTGTGTATCCATCAAATAACATGACAATATAAGAAGGCATTCTTGAAGAAGCTAATTATTAAAGTAAATTTTCTGGTTGAAATTTCAACTCTAAGATCATCACGAAGTCACCTAACATAGCAGCTAAGAACTGTAGGGAAAAGTCTAAGAGAAAAATTTTATTCTTATTTGAAGTCATCCATTAGATAGTAAGCTCTTTTTGACATTGTTTTAAGCCACTTATTGTTTCTATCAAACTCTCCATAGTAAATAGCTCAGAGGCTAGTTAGTGATAAATCACAAACATCTGGGACTCATATATTCTGCTTATAGTCCAGAGTTGTTCTTATAGACTCTAATAATACCATTTTTATGTATCTTTTATTGGTGCTCTAATTCACTAAATTTCTAGATGGTTCCTGTTTGCAAGCAATATTATTAGCTATTTCTATGAAATAGGGATTTTCTTTAGTCTAACAATACAATCTATCTAATCCCTGTACCATTCCATCACTAACAAATGGTCTAATTCTTGGCTTAGAGTCTTAAAGAACCTATTTCTTAAAATATAGATATTTCATTAGTAGAAATATGCTTAAGTTAGCCTTGCTTCTTAAAATCTTAGACTGAGATAACCCTGAGCTTTTACAATATCTGTTCTCAAGCTGATGCATAAACGAGAGGACTTGCTAAGATGTGATAGGGTAAAAGAGAGCTACAGGCATATATTTTGACTAATTTCCTTAATCAGCTAAATGTTTGGGTTAAAACCTTGGATCCTTGGCTTAATGAGTTAAAAATTGTATGAATCCTAATAAAGTCACTCAAATGTATGATTTATTCTAAGAAAATAGCCTACATGAACAACTGGATGAGATTAAAGGCTGAAATAGGAATTTTAGATGATCTAAACTATGCCTTACCTTGAGAGTCTTCATCAATAAGGATAGATTGATGAGCCATTTCTTTGTCAGGAGTTTCATCCCTTATAAAAGACTTACCTTTGCCTTTAGTAGAGATCTTGATTTCCCCATTTTCATCAATTTCGATTGGATTCTGAGGTGAATCTAGCATGTCAGAGTCATAATGTTTATTTTCATTGACTTGGCCAGGCTCAACCTATAAGAAATTAAACATTAATCTAGAACTTTCTATACTTTGGCTTTTAAGGAATTTTTACACATAGATTTTGTAAAAATTTAGCCGTAATCTGAGGCAAGAAGTTTGCTGTAAAACTCTAGGTGAGTGAAAAACAAAGGTAATGAGCATACCTGGTCTTGGTTATACAGAGAGTCTAGTTTCGACCCTGAGTTATCATTGATCATGATTTCGTTGTCTTTAGAACCATCATCGATCTCCATATCAATTTCATCATCTTGATTATCAAATTTCAGCAAGTCCCGTCCTTGATTTTGAGATAGTTTGAAAGAATCAATAGGAGTTTTGAGGTCTTTAACAGGAGTTAATTCCCCAGGCTCCTTCCCTTGATTCTCTTCAGCTGAAGGATGAGATAATTTGGCAGGTTCAGAATCATCTTGACGATGTGCCTTTGGAGTAGGCTCATCAATATTAAATGAAGAAGCAATAGGTGTCTTTAGAGGAGACATATCCATCTCATTTACATTTGAATCTGACCTTTGGACATGTTCTTTCTTTTGTTTTTCTGACTTAAGGTAGCGCTGGAATAAAGATTCCCCTTGATCAGATTCAGATCCTGAGCTGTTCTCCATAACCTCTTGCACTTTTTGGTAATTCATGTTACTACTAGAATGCATTGGAGCATGTATATTTATCATAGGATTATCTAATCCATCATTTCTATGAATACTGTTAGATTATTGGGAATCTTACTCTGAGATGTGGCTTTCTTCGGATTCATCCTCTTTCATATCTAGACATAAACTGTTTGAAATACCTTCCATGTCATCATCTTCTGATTGTCCACTTGCTCCAAGCTTTCCTCCTGGCATCTGGAAGGGACCCTTGCCTTTTCCTCCACTAATCGGCCGAGGGGTGATAGATTGCTCTTCTTGCTCTTTGTCAGCTCTCTCTTGCTCTTCTTTTTGTTGCTTTTCTCGTTCAATTTTGTCTTGTTCTTCTTTCATCCGCTGCTGTTCTATTAGTCTTTGCTCTTCAAGTTTTTGCTGCTCCAGTCTCTGTTGTTCAAGCCTCTGTTGCTCAAGCCTCTGCTGCTCAAGCCTCTGTCGTTCAAGTCTTTCTTGCTCGAGTCTCTGCTGTTCTCTTCTTTGTTGTTCGAGCCTCTCTCGCTCTTGTTGCTCTTCAAGCTTGCGCTGTTCTTGTGCCTTGCGGAGAGCTTCCTGCTTTTCCTTTCTGAGACGCTCTTCTTCCGCTTTCCTGAGAGCTTCTTGTCTGAGCCGTTCTTGCTCAAGTTTCCTATGAACTCAGTTTTACGATAATTCGAATGAGACCATTAGTTAGAAAGAGGTTCGTGGAAGCGATACGAGCCACGAGTATTATGAAATGGATGAGATGTGCATGCCTAACAGTTCTAAGTAATTTATTATCTCCATATGTAGATCCTCAGTTACAAACTTGGAATGATAGATTGTTGAAGGTTAGTGCAAATCGTATTTTGATATATTTGTACAAGAACTATTTGCCATAAGAATGCTTTATGATCAGACCTTCATTATATAAAGTCCAATGCTTTAAAATTCAAAGATCATAATTTGTCAATATATAATCACAGCTTACCTCAGTCTTTCTTGTTCTCTTCTGGCTTCTTCTTCTCTCCTAAGTCTTTCTTGTTCCTCTTTACGTTTACGCTCCTCCTCTTCTTTCCTCTTACGTTCTTCTTCCATTCTTCTACGTTCTTCTTCAATTCTCCTACGTTCTTCCTCCTCTCGGCGTTTGCGTTCTTGCTCTTCTCTGAGCCTTAGCTCTTCCTGCTCTTTGCGCTTGCGCTCTTCTTCCTCCTCCTTGCGCTTGCGTTCTTCTTCCTCTTTGCGTTTACGCTCTTCTTCTTGCTTCCTCTTCCGCTCCTGTTCTTCCCGGAGTCTTTTCTGCTCTTCTTCTCTACGCTGTCGCTCTTGCTCCTCTCTGATCCTGCGCTGTTCTTCTTCCCTTTGCTTGCGTTCTTGTTCGGCTTTTAGCCTCCGCTCTTCATCTTCTTTGAGCTTCCTTTGGAGTTCTTGTCTCTTACGGTCTTCTTCTTCTTGCTGCCTCCTGCGTTGTTCTTCTTCTCTTATGCGTAGTTCTTCCATTTCTCTCTTCCTGCGCTCCTGCTCTTCTCTGATCCTCCTCTGCTCTTCCTCCTTCTTCTTTTGCTGGAGCTCTTGCTGCCTTCTGCGCTCTTCTTCTCTCTTTCTGAGTTCTTCTTGCTCTCTTTTTCCTCGTTCTTCTTCTCAAGCCTTAGGAGCTTTTCTTGCTTGGGCTTGAATTTTCTTGACGCCTCCGTTCTTCTTCCTTTTGTTTGATGAGCTCGAGTCGCTTTCTCTCTTCTTCTCTGCGTCTTTGTTCCTCAGCTTCTTTCTTTTTACGTCTTTCTTCTTCAAGGCGGAGCTTCGCTAGTCCACGCTGGCGTTCTTGTTCTTCAGATTTTCGAAGTTCTTCTGCTTTTCTGCGCTTGTCTTCTTCAGCTTTTCTGCGTTCCTGCTCTATTCGCTCTCGCTCAGCTTCTGCCTGTTTCCTTTTCTCTTCTTCGAGCCGCTTCTGTTCAAGTTGCTCTTGATGAGCCTTCACTCTCGCTGCTTCTTGTTGTTCAGAAGTTGTTGGAGGCACAGGAGATTTGCTTTCATAACTTGGTTCATGGGGATCACCTGCACGATTAGAGAACTGCTTACTTTCTTGCTGTCTTTCATGTTCCTGTCTTCTCAGGAGCTCTTGCTGCTCTTTGAATTTTCTGTTTTCTTCTTTACGCTGTTCTTGTTCTTTTCTTCTGAGTTCATCCTTCTTCCTATAGAGAGTCAACTGTGGACTTTGTATGGTGGAGTACCTTTCTTGCAGTTTCATTTCATGTTCTTTATTTACGTCTTTCTTTATACCTGGCTTCTTCTTCGGCTCTCTTGCGTCTTTCTATTTCTCGTTCTCTTTCAGAAACTCTTCCTGCGCCTGAGGCATCTTGAGACCCACTAAACATTAGGCTGATAAGTTTGATCCAGATTATTTTATACTCATAATCCTAATAGTTGGTAGCTTGATTGTAAATATTAAAACTGAAGCATTTTATTGACAGATCAACTCATGAGAAAAGAATTCAAAAATAAAAACACTAAATTTTTAGTATTATGACAAACTAAGTTTTCTTACACTGCTGAGGAGCTTCGCTCTCCATGACTTCCAGCTATACTCAGATAAAACAGAATTTGCGTATGAATTTACTTACGCTTCCCAGTCTGAGCTCTTCCAGTGGAACTAGCGCTGCCAGGGTCGCTTATTCCTTCGATCAGCATGCCAACTCTGGCTCATTGCGCAGGTGTCAGGGTGTTGAGGCTGAACTTGAACTCTTTTCCTTCTCTATACATCTCCGTTAGATATGATTCAGGGCTAGTCTCAAGAGGTCTTACTTGTTTCCAACGTGAACTATACAAAATGAGATATGCGTAAACACAATTAAGCCACTTACATTGCCTCATCAGTCTGACAATGCCTTGGACTTGAGGACCAGAAATCCTCCGTATCATGTTCCCGAGTTCTTTCCTTCCCTGGCTGGTTGAATACTTGTCGATGAATTTCAATTTATTTAGCAGAAAGATCATTAGCTCTTCCCTTTCTGTCTAGGTGATTAGGTGCATCATTCTCCTTCTTTATTTCAGAAATGCTTTTGTGTACAACAGCCTTGTCTTTTCTCTGCGGTACCTGCTCTGTAAACTGAGGTGTAGTTACTACCTGGGCTCGCTCTTGCTGCATTTTAGGGCGATCGGATTTATTTTCAAACATGTTCTTGCTCATATCAACGTCATTATCGGGTCTTATCACTTCTGGAGCCACATGTTTGCCCTTCTTAGCTGTTTCGATCTCATGGATCGGGCTTGCCTGCGGAGCTCTTAGAGGCTGACTTGAAGGAGCATCTCGAAGTGGAGCCTCGGTCAGATGAGGATTCACATGAGGCTGAGATGGAGGAATCCTCATATCTTCTGGAACTCTGACAGGCTTCTCTGGGTCTCTTGCTTGCTGATTAGCATCTGCTTGGGGCTTTTGGTCATGATCAGTTTCCATGGGATGATCTTTGTGTTTGTCAGGCTGTCTTCCAACTTTGGGTATGTCAAGGCTCTCAAGCCTGGCCATGTCAGCATCCATATTCTGGTCTTTGTGAGGATCCTAGAGATTAGAACAGTTTGAGCGTTTATTACTTGAGGAGGCTGCTTGATTTCTTCTCTTGGCTTGACTTGATTTCTATATTATAAGCATTAATTAAATACTGTAAGAATATCAAGCAGAAAGGATAAAAGTATTAATTCGCAAGATTTATACTACTCCTTCTAAAACTTTTCTTTCATCATCACATTTCAGATCGGACTAGTCAATATATTGTTTTAAAGCATTACTTTTGTTGAAGTTCTTTACTTTCACAATAACAGTGGAATAAAGTTATTTCTAATAGATTCAAATAAAACTCTCTACTATTACGATTCACATAATCTTAATGGAATTGGTCCTCAGTATCTTTTAATTGAGTAAAAATCATAAACATGTTCAAAATTTGGTTATAAATTTATCAACTTTTAGGCAGATGTATACAAAGTTCCAAATTCTGTAGAAAATCTCTCCAGTTGAAGCTCTATTTATACCAAATACCCAAGAGGTAGAAATCCGCTTAAGCCTGGGATATACTTACACCTGTTGCTGGGAATTAGAGTTACTATTAGAAAGGAGGTGCTCGACCTTATCATCTTCTGTGATCTTTCTTCTCTTGATAGATTTATTTTTGTTCTGTGATAGACTTTCGCTTTCCTTAGAAACTTCGTTTGAGTCGAACAATGAGCCACTGTTGTCATCATCGTCATCGTTGTCTATCTTCTTGGATAATTCCATATTAGGCTTTATGTTGGCTCTTGGCTGTGTGTGGGTTGGATGATTAATTTTTGGTGGAGGAGGCATTTCTTGGAACTTCATGAGGTCTATGCGGATTCAGATTTAGTCAGAAATATGAGAGAAAATTATTAGTATTAAATTTATCCATAGTATAGGTCTAAAAGAGCTAAATTTGTTGAATGTGGGCTTCAGAAGTCTCTAATTAAAGGAAAATAGTTAATCTTAGTGATAATTTTACAAGGGTTGTTGATCAAATTAAAAAAAATTCCTTCTATTCTAATGAAATTTCAGTAGTTTTGGATCTTTGGAACCCAAACTAGTAAATATTGAAATCTTGAGACTTCTGGAAGTAAAATTGGTAAAAACTTGTACATATACAGTAGTATCTGATTTGATCGCAAATTCCTTCTGAAAATATGCGAGATAATTCAGAAAATACTTGAAGAATGTCTTAAGGAAGTTGAAATGACTAAAATTTATCAAGAAGACCTAGGCTAAGGAGGACTTCCAGATATTGTTACTTATATCCTAATGCCACTAATGCCGTTATGTTAACTCAAAGACTATTTTAAGCTATCTGTATCTTTCTAGTGATAATAGGAAAGAATCTCATAACTTTTCTGGAGGATCGCGATGAATCAAATTATTTGAAATTTAAGTATAGTGGTTGAAAATGATTTTCGATAAAGCTTCTAAACTACAACTAAAATGGATACTCAAGGTTGGGAAAAAGACTGCCCTATGATCTTTGTCAAACTTTTGACCTTCAAATAAGAAGCAAAGTGTTGTGCTAAAAGTACTGTAAATCATATTGGGTTTCCTTAAAATTAAGCTAGAACCGATTGCTAAAAGCTCTATTAGGATTTGCTAAATTCTCAGTAAAACATAGGGAATCTACAGAAAGATTCTTTTTCTTCTATTTGGAAAATCTTAATTGTATATACATAATCTTATCCGGATGCACCACTAATGGCATCATAGGAGATAGTAACAATTAGCATTAATCATTTACATCAGAGGTAAGATTTCCATGGCAATACTAGTTGATTAGGGTTGTTTAAAAGAGTTTTCACCCAGTAAAATCTCGCTATGATCCTTTCAAAAATGCGAAGGAGTGTATTCACTTACAGTCAAACTTGAGGTTCTTATATTTTCTGGCTGTTGCTCTGATGACTTGCTTTGCAGCAACTCTGAACTCATCTACATTAATAAAATAGCCTCTAGAGATTCCTCTTTCCAGGATCTCGAAGTCAAATGAACTCGAGATCTGAGGGAAATCGCTTCGAACGATTTTTGAAAGCTTAGTAAATAGATTCTTTATGGCTTCCTTAGGGTCATCCGAAGCTGGTTGCTTATTTTCTGGTTTTGGTGCTATCTGATGCTGAACTGGAGAGTTATCAGACAAACTTGAAGAATTTTCATGTGGAGTTTTAGTCGCTGTGCATATTTTACCTCCCTTCCTTGGAGGCCCATAGAGTTGAGCTTTGTCTTTCAGCTTCTTCAGGTTCTTACTAGCTTCGTTAAGAGGTACAAATCGAAATTGGGAGTCTCCTAGTAACTTATTAACAGCATAGATCTGTTCTGTGTTCAATTCGAAGGTTAGCGAATCGAACCATTCCTTACTAATTGTTGATGCCATTTTTAATAATTATTAATACTTTGAAATAAATACTGAAGGGGCTTACAGGGGTTTTGGGGTTTTGGGGTTTTGGGGTTTTGGGGTTTTGGGG